TCCAGAAATGGGCCATATATTCACACTGTAACCTGGCACAACCCTACAGATGGCATGCCTATAGATGTCACTAGCCATGAGCACATCCTTTTGTGTCCATGGTCCTCAGGAACCTTGAGCTTGGCTCCTGGATTGAAACAGATATGAAGCTGAGAACTGGATGTCTTGATCCCATGGTGGATCTGCAACCCTCAGCAGGGAAAGTTCTGTACATGCCACATCAAGTTGATCTCTAAGAAAGCTGACTGAACTAGCCTTTTAAAAAGTAACTTGAAAGCAAACAACCTTGATATCTTTTTTTTTTTTTTTTTAAGATCCTGACCTTTAACTGTCTTCTAGAGGTCTAAGATGAAATGAGGCTCCCAGATATGGGCGTCACAGGTATTTCCCACGTCCCCATGGCCCTTGCTCAAGTCTACTCAGCAAGGATTTGTCTTGAAATCCAAGCCTGTTTCTTGTTGTTTTAACTCTGTTGAGTCCAGGCCGGCTGGAATAAGAGGTAAAGCATCCAATACGTTCCCATGGTGGCCCTGAGCAGAAGTTCCTGAGACTTGTCTGCTCCGGCAAACGTTCCCTGGCCATCCCAGTCCAGAGAACTCTTCCTTCCAAGAGTCCGAGTGAACACTGCTCTCCTGTGGCTTTTAAACTTAAATCAGCAATAGACACAAGGAACTGCAGAGCAGATTCTGTTTGTTCACGTAGACTACAAATTCATGCAACTAAAAGCCATGTTCATAACCTATTATCTCCCTAGTTTATAATACAATTCCATAAATATATTAGACACTCAATAAATTCTTGTTGACGGATTTACGGCAGAAATCATTTGCTAGTCATTTTTGTACCTTCAGCCTATAGATGGCTTTTGCTGAACCAGGACAATTTTTGAATAAATCAATAATTAAATAAATAAGAATGGAATGCCACATTAGGACATTGCTTAATAAAGCCTTAGGGAGAATTAGAATTAGCAGAAAGGTTGAATAATAAAAAGTAATGAATGCTATTCCAGAAGCCTAGGAAACTAGATTTAAATCCTCCTCCAACAATTAATTATCTAAATAATGTAGGAAAAGTCATTTCATTTTTGGTCTCAAGTATTATAAATAAAAATCAGGGCTTGGAGTAGGTAATCTCTCTGATTTTAGAAGAGGAAAAGGCAAGGAATAGAACATGGGTTCAAGTTTCTACTCAGGGCTAGCTAGGGTTAGGTTCCCAGAGAGCTCATCCAGTCAAAAAAACAAAACAAACAAAAAAAGAAGAGAAAAGAAAAGAAAAAAAGAAAAGAAAAGAAAGGAAAAAGAGTTCTCTTAAAAAGAGACAAAAGGGTTTATTCTAACAGATTTTTATTTATTTATTTTTATTTTTTATTTTTTTGAGAGACAGAGAGAGAGAGAGAGTGTGTGAGTGAGGGAGGGGGAGAGAGAGACAGAGAATCAGAGGCAGGCTCCAGGCTCTGAGCTGTCAGCATAGAGTCTGACACAGGGCTTGAACCCACAAACCATGAGATCATGACCTGAGCTGAAGTCGGACACTTAACCTATTGAGCCACCCAGGCGCCCCCTAACAGATTTTTAAAATTCATTGCTGGAATTGGTTCGGTATTATTTTATTTAGAAGTTTTCACATCTATGTTCCCAAGCAAAATCAGTCTGTAATTTTCTTATTCGGTTTTGGAATTAATATTAAATTAGCTTCGTGAAGTGAGTTGGACTCCATTTGTTTCTTTTCCTAACAATTTCTTGAATTTATCAATATCTATATTTTTCTTCCAAAGAGGACATTTTCCTTTCCTTTTTCTTTTCCTAAATTGTCATAGATATAATTTTTCTCTCTCTATTGTTTCATCCTTGTTTATTTAAACAAGAATAAAATTTTCTAATTTACATATCCTCATTTTCCATACGAAGTAGCCTTTTCTTGGTAATAATATATTTTTCTTACTGGAATACTTAATCCAATTATGTTTTCAGAGGGCTTTTGTTAAATATTTCTGCTCTACTTTTGGGCTTAAAAAATTAATTGCTATGTAGAAAATCATGTGTAATGTTTTCTTTTTCTCTTTAGCATCTTGAAAATATCACTTTATGTTGAGAAGTTCAGTGTTAATCATTTCTTCAAATTTTCCCTCCCCTGTATTGATTTATTTCCTTTCCTTGTGAAGTTTCAATGATATGATTTTTCACTCCTATCACTTAATGTTTTTTTATATTTACACTTTATGTCTTTTTTTTTAAATTTTTTTTAAACGTTTATTTATTTTTGAGACAGAGAGAGACAGAACATGAACGGGGGAGGGACAGAGAGAGAGGGAGACACAGAATCGGAAGCAGGCTCCCGGCTCCAAGCCATCAGCCCAGAGCCCGACGCGGGGCTCGAACTCACAGACCGCGAGATCATGACCTGAGTCGAAGTCGGACGCTTAACCGACTGAGCCACCCAGGCGTCCCTACACTTTATGTCTTTTTTACAGAGTTTGTTTTGATATTCCAGTTTATTAGCTTGTTCATTTTATCCTTTCCACTCTCAATCTTTATTTCATTTATTTTATTTTTTTTAATGTTCCATATCACCAGTTGATTTTTCTTCATAGTGGATTATTACTTCATGTTTCCAGTATTTTCCCTTATCATTTTTTGGAAATTTATTAGACTCCTTTGAAATGATTCTTCTCTCTGGTCCACGAATTCTGCTTCATCCAGTAAGGGTGATCTACTGTGTCTTTTGATGATGGTACTTTTGTTCCTCAAGAGTCTTTCAGATAGGGTCCAGGAGCTCATGTTGCCCTGAGGTTATCTGCTACCTTGATTGTAAATACAAAGTGGGTAAAGGGGCAGAAATCTCAGACCTTAGTCTGGATCGCTTCTGGCCATTTTTAGGAGATGGAAATACTATATTCAGGCAGGTAGTCTTTGGAATTATAAACTAGGCTCTCGCATTCTGTGTTAACTCCTAGTCAATCCCTATGACTTGAGTACACCTTCCCCCTAGGGCCTCAATTTTGTTTTTAACAGCCTCATCCCCAGGCTGTCATCAATGGGACTCAGGGGTGGAAGCCTGAGGGGCTGGTTGGGGTCGTGCTAAGAGGAGGAAAGGCCCAGGTGCAGATGAGGCTATCAGTGTCACCGCCTGCTCCTCACTCCCAGCTGCACTCAAACACCGCCCTAGATTTGGTGGGTTACTTCCTTCCAGCCCTGAGCTGATTTTGCTGTTTCTCTGCCTCTTCGCGTCTCTGGCATAGCAGTGGTGGTGCCAGGGCACTGTGGGGAACGGAACGGGCGAAGCCTGAAAGTTATGCCAAACCTATCCCCCCGCTGATGGAGGCTACCTCCCGCGCCCCCACTCCCAATCCCAGACAGGGTCCTGACCACCTTCTATCTCTCCAGGAATTCCTCCCAGTCTTATTTTACTCTTTTCCATCAACCCGCCTCTCTTGCTTTTGTGACAACTCTGAGGTAAAGGTTCAGCTGCCATGTTCATGTGACATCTTTCCAGGAATGGACAACTCACCAGTGGCTGTTAGAAAGTCTCTGGGGCTCCTGAAGGATACATTATGTTCCTTGTGTGACTCAGGCTATCCTTTTTTTTTTTTTTTTTTTTTTTTTTTTTTTTTTTTAATATTAAAAGTCTTAAAATCTTATGCTGAATCCTAATATAGAAAAGAGATAAGATCAATGATGCTCTCTCGGAAGAACAAATGGGGACCCGGGATTCTGCCTCCTAAGCAGCGCTGCCCACCCCAATGGGGATCCCATAGAAATCCCTCTGGAAGCCTGGAACTGCAGAGAACAGGGTCTGAAAAGCCAACACCCAAACATTTAGGAGGTGGCAATATCTATAGTTTCATTTATTTTACCTTTTCTTGTTAATTAACAATTCATTATATGGATAAAAGGCCTCATCTCTTTTCTTACTAAATGAATCACTTTTAGTGATTCTTGTTTCTACTGGTAGGAAAGAAACTTTTCTTGTTTCTACTGGTAGGAAAGAATAAGATTAAACAGTGGTCTCCAAGTTTATTGGCCTTCTTAGTTTTCATACGGATGAGAGAATCTTTGGAACCTCTCCCATCTTAGCTAGATGTCTGTCTTCAGCAATACCCAGCAGTTTTACGGATTTAGACCCTGTAAGTGAGTGTAAGGGAGCAATCTACATCGCCTCTAATGCTTGGCTTATGAAGAACCATATCAACATGGACGTCAGACCCAGGGTCCGGCCTGCAGGGGAAAGACTGGTACAGAAGTAACAACCGCTCTTTCCTTCGACCGTCACCCGCCGTTTGATAAAACCACCCATCCAGCAAATACTTCCTGGGCCTCTATATGAGAGCCCCTTAAGAACTGGGGCTTCGGCTTGCTCATTCCGGGGTTCCCTCCCCCGGAGTCCAGCATCATAAGCACAAGGTAGGTACTTTGCCCAAGTGACTCAAAGACCTTGTTCTGGAACTCCTGGCTTTAGGCTATCAGAGCGGGCAAAACTATGTCTAAACTTCCACTTCCGTGGCTGAGACACAGAACACAACCTGATCAGGGCTTCCTCAGAGGGAGCCTATAGTTGTACACCTTCAGCTTAAGCCTCATCCCGTCTTGCTGGCCCCCTGAATGGACGGAGGCCAGCCCTGCGTGGCAAAGACCCTACGGCGAAGAATGAAGTTTACGTTTGAAGACACGAGACTAATTTGTTTATTAGGTCTGTTCTAATAAGTTGAGGAGGGGAGTTTTTGGCAAATAAATAAATAAATAAATAATCAGACAAAGGGAGACTCTTGGGCAAAAGAGGGAGCTCAGGAAGAGGAGGCGGAGTCTTTGCATAGTTCTAAATGAACACAAGGTGGCAGCAGTAGGCAACGCGGATTCTCAGCAGAAATGCAGCACTTGCAAAAACCAGAAACTGGGAGGCTTTGAGAAAGAGAAGGTCAGAAGGTGACTAACTATTTCTTTATCACAGAGACCGTGGTGTGGAACATTCGTCCTCTCTACGGGGGGGCAGGAGGCAGCATCTTACATGATCTGCCTGGGCATCCCGTACCCGGTCATGCCTGCCTGGGAGGCTCCCTTGTTGCTGCCCATCTGCAGGCCGATGACGTTCTGTCCCTGGCGAAGCTGCTCCTCTGAAAATCCTCTCCGATTCTGCTGGGCTTTCCTGGGCAGGGGAAGTGAGATGGAATAATGTCATTCTGACAGTTTTCAAGCCCTTCCCAAGACACGTAGTTAGAAAGACTCTATTGGGGTCACCAAACAGAACCCAAGGCCACCAAATAGAATAGCAGGCCCTATACTGAACTATAGTACTGATAGAAACTGTGATCCTACCCTGAGCTACAGTCCTACCTTGAGCAATGGCCAGCATGGGCTATGACCCTACCATGAGCCAAGGCCCTACCCTGAGCTATAATCCTATCATGAGCTATGGTCCTACCTTGATCTGTGAGTCCCTACCTGGTCTATGGCCCCAGCCTAAAGCTATGGCCCTACTCTGATCATTATTCCTATCCTGGGCTATGTTCCTACCCTGGGCCATGGTCCTATCACGAGCTCTAGCCCTACTCCAAATAGGCCCTTCCATGACACAGGAGCTCTCCACTCCTTAGAACCCAGATGATTTTTCAGAATTTCCACGAAAGAGTCAGTGGCTTCCTTTCTGAAGACTTCACTCTCAGACAACTTTCCTGTCACCCTCTCTCTCAAAGTTACCTCAAGCCCTTGTGAAAATTACAGTCAGGTCTTCTTACAAAGCATGTCATAAATCCCATTCGGCCTTTCCCTGTGTAGGGCCAAGGATTAATGTTCCCGTTTTAGAGCTGTAGGACCTAGGAGTTAAGGAGGGAAATTTTCTTACTCTTACCCAGAGGTCAGCAAACTTCAGTAAAGAGCCAGGTAGTAATTAATTTTGGTTTTGTGGGTCATATAAACCACGATATGTCACTAGCAAAGCTGGGACTAAAAGCAGAGTTTCAACTGGCCAAAATCTAGGAGATTTTCAGACAAGGTTCATTTAAAATGACACAAGGGGGTAACTTTTTATAACTGTCTAGAAAAAGAAAGCCAGGTTAGGGAAATGAAGGGTCAATTATCTGCTACAAAGTACTCTTTTGTCTCCAAGGCCCCCTGAGCTATTGGGTGGAGTTTCACCTTCCTTGCTTCCCCCACCCTTGAAAACAAGGACAAGAAAATAAATCCTTTACTGATATGACCACATAATACATTATCCAGACTATGCCACTTTTGAAAGTGAAAGAGACAGCTATTAATAAATACACTGGGGGGTTGCCTGGGAGGCTCAGTTGGTTAAACATCTGACTCTTGATTTTGGCTCAGTCATGATCTCACAATCTGTGAGATCGAGCCCCACATCAGGCTCTGCGCAGATAGTGTGGAGCCTGCTTGGGAGTCTCTCTCTCTCCCTTGCTCTCTGCCCCTCCCTGCTCATATGCACGTGCTGTCTCTCTCTCTCTCTCTCTCAAAATGAACAAGTAAACATTTAAAAAAAATAAAGAAATACACTGGGACAACAGGCATTAACCAGGACATATATTCCCTTCATTAAGTTCAAGAATAAATAAGTAAATAAGTTTACTTTAGGGTTCCTTGGATCATAACAAAACCAAGTTCAGACCTCAAGCCACCTCTGAGAAAAGTCAGTCAGTCCTGCTCAGCCTCTGGAGAAACAGCACAGCTGGAGCCGTAGGGTCCCAGTATCCCACAGGAAACCCCCAATCCTTTCTGCCCTGGGTGGGCTGTTGACCTGAATGACAGCATCAGTCTTCCCTTGTTCCTGGGGAATCAGCTGTGGGGGCCCTGAGTGCTTTGTGTTGAAATAGCCTCTAGCGCTCCAGATGCTCTTTCTCGTAAAAATCACCCTCCTCGGTTGCCGAGTGGAGCGTGGGGAGTGGTGGCAGGAAGGGATATTTACCTGTGAAACCAGGATGGCTCTCCCCTGTAGCAGCCATCATCCTTGGTGACTGCAACGCTGCCAAGAGCCATCAGAGTCCTCTGCACAGCCGCCATGTCCTTCCCTACAAGCCAACAAAGACATTAAAGCCAAGCATGTGTCAGGGCTAAGGAATCTGGAAGGATGGGGCTGGTCCTCTGGGAAGGAAATTCTGATGGGAGGCTGTAGGCCGATCCCATTCAAGAGGAGGGATACCAAATACTTCTCAAAGCCCCGAAGATAACCATAGCAAAACTTCCCAGAAAAGAACAAAAAATTACCTGGCTAGTCTCTATGTGACTCGCCCAGTTTCTAACTCATTCATAGTTGCCGAATGAATAAAACATTCCAAGCACTTGTCAGCCCAGATACAAGTAGGTCCCTGCCCTGAGCAGAGGCCCTTGCCTCTGTGGGTTCTACAGACTGTGGCAAGGGGAAATCCTGTGGGTAGGCTTGCGAGCTGGTCTGCAGAAGACGATTTTCCTCAGGACTGGGAGTAGGGGGAAAAGGAAACTGGAAAGGAGTTGCTTGGCTGGATTCAATGTGCCAAACCCCAGGTGGCTCCTCTCTTTTACTTTCTCTGGGTGAAAAGGGTCTAAAATCACCCATGTGCGTCAAATTGTATTCACTTGACGTACTCAATTGATTCAAAGGGTATTCACTTTGCTCTTTGGGCTGGAGGCCGGCAAATGAAGGCAAGCAAATCAACACAGAAAGCACTCAATGTGACACAAATGATAGGCCCTTTATTTTGTGCAGCTTGGAAGGAGCTAAATGGAAATAATAAATAGCTGCCGTGTGTGTGTGTGTGTGTGTGTGTGTGTGTGTGTGTGTGTGTG